CTGAGTCGCCTGTGCGGCCATGCCCTTGATGATGTCGTGGTCCAGGACAGTGGTATCCAGCAGTCTTTCCTTCCGTAGTTGTCGGTGCAGGGCTGCTCGAGATGACTCGTGGCGTCCTGCTGGGGGAATGCCCCGGTGGGCGAGGCGTCGGCAGCTATCGGCGATGGCACGCCGTTGCTGTTCGCCTCGTTGTCGGGTTAGTAGTGTGTCGTAGTGTCCTAGTGCTGTAGCTGTACTGCTCTACCAGTCAGCGTATTGGTTGGCGTATCGTGATCGTCGGTGTCCGCAGGTGGCCGTGCTGGTCCAATGGTGCTCCTAACCCACGCCTCGCCCCAAGAACTTCTGTCGGTCGTCTTCGCTGATGCCGTGGGCGTCGCAGAAGAAGGCTTCCATGGTGTGCGTGAAGGCGGCGTAGGCTTGGCCCCGGTTGTCTGCAGCCTGCGGGTCTGCTCGGTAGCTGATGCTGTCTTTGATGTATGTGGACGCCGTCGTAGGTGCTAGTGGTTGGAGAGCTGCCAGTCGTAGCCACTCCTCCTCCATTGTGGTTGTGCTTACCGACGTAGTGCTGGGAGGCTTAGGCGTCTCCGCTGTGGGAGACGCGGAGGGGTGGCAGGCCGAGGGCTGGTCGTGCTCGATGGCGTGTTGGGGGTCGTGGAACGGGTCGTGGTCGGGCGGCTCCAGCTCTGGTGGGAGGTGCTCGTCGTCTGCTGCGATGCCAAAGTCGAGGTCGAGCTGTGCAAAGGGGTCGTCCTCGTCGTGGTATGATGCGGTTCTTGCTGGTCTGCCAGCCACTGATGTGTCATCAAAACCCGTGGCGGGGGCAGTCCATCCGCTCGGAGTGAGGGCCCCCCATCGCTGGTTGAGCTCATTGTGGTCGTCGCAGACAGGCCGAAGTGGTTGAGGTCTTTGCCGTGGACGTGGTGGTCGGCCCGCCTCCGTGGCTTCGCGGAGGCGCCGCTGTCTCTTGCTGTCAGGGTCAGGTCGTCGAGCTGGAAACCGCGGGTGGTTGAAATTGGAGGGAAGTCGCAGTTGTCGTGTCCAGCATTCCTGGGCAGCACCATGAAGTCGGATGACCTGGCCGAGGTGAGGCTTCCACGGGGCGTCTGCGCACGTGGTGATGGTCACGGAGTGGGGCACTGCGTGTGGGCTGAGGAGCGTGTAGTCAATGATGGAAGGGGTGGCGCCCTTCATGGCCATGTGGAACTGCCGCCTGGTACGCTGGCAATGGTGGCGGCGCCGAGTGCGGTGGGCCAGCCAGAACGCCATGGCGTCTCGGGCGGAACGTTAAAGTCGCCTGCCACGATCCAGGGGCAGGAGGTCGTCCGCAAGAAGCTGCCCAGGCTGCTGAGCTTCCTCGCGTTCACTCCTACGCGCAGGGAGGAACCGTGGTCTAAGTAGAGCGAGATGATCAGGATGCTGTAGCCCTTCATGTGCCAGAGCATGGGCACCCAGTCGTTGACGTCCACTGACCCTCCAGTAGGACTGCAGCACGACGTAGCGGGTGATGTCTAGCCTGGCGCGGACAGCTCCCGAAGGGTGGAGGTCTGGAGGTAGTTGCGGGCGCCCGCGCACACGCCCCCGTGCGTGCCCCGCGCGGAGTTTCGTGAGGGCAGCGCCGCCGGGAAGCACGTCTTGAGGCCCGGCGCGCTCAAGTGGCGCTCCACGTCGGTGATGCTGCTCATGTCTAGGTGCGTCTCCTGAATTAAGTAGCCGTGGAAGTCGCGTCGCTGCAAGAACCCCTCGATCCACTTCAGCGCCGTCGGTCCCCACTGCGTGATGTTGCCGCAAAACAAGTCCCTGTGCTCCACCGCGGGCTTCTGGTGGGCAGGGCTCCGCCTTCAGGCGGCGGCGGTGCTGGAGGCGGCGGCGCCCTTGCCGCTGCCCTTCTGGGTGGCCGCGAGCTGCTTGGCCGCCTCCTGCATCATCCGCTGCGCACGCATCTCCTCGAACTTCTTGGCTGAGATCTCGGCGGCGGCGGCGGTGCTCACCTCGGTGGCCCCAGCGTCTTCCGCGGTGGGAGGAGTAGCTGAGGCCCCTGGTGTCGCAGTCTGCAGCGTCGTCGCACCCGAAGCCGAGGCTGGTGCTGCGGCGGCAGTGTCTGCTCCATCGGGTGGCTTCCGCTTCTTCGCCCTCCGCTCGTTGATCGCCTCGTGGATGCGCCTCGCGTTGTCGAGGCGCGCCTTGATCTCGTCGCCCCGCTCCGCGAACTGATTCTTGTAGCTGTTGAGCTCGCTCAGCACCTTCGCCAGGTCCGCCTTCTCCGAGTCCTCGATGCCGTCCAGGCCGTCCAGGTTCTCGAACAGCGCAGGATCCCACGAGAGCGTGAAGGCGGCCTCCTTGTCTTCGCCTCCCACCTGCTTCGAGAAGGCTGCTGCTGCATCTCGCCGCTGCTGCTCAGCTCGTGCCAAAGCCAGCGCCGCCACGGCCTCCTTCTCTCGGGCCGCTGCCAGCCGCCCCTCGCAGACCAGGGCCTGGTTCACCGCCTGTTCGTGGCGGTAGCTGGCGTCCTTCCAGGTGCTGGACGCCTTCTTCACGAGCTCGTCTGGGGCGGGCTCCTTGGCAGCAGGCCCCTGATGTGGCTGGAGCGCTGCTGCTGCTGCTGCAGCCGCAAGCTGTGGGGAGGGCGCGCCCGCTGCCAGGGTGGTGAGCAGCTGCTGCAGCGCCGTCGCGTCCACGGTAACCTGCTGCTGGGGCTGCGCTCCTGCGGGCTGCTGTTGCTGCTGCTGCTGCTGCTGCTGCTGCTGCTGGTGCTGGTGCTGGGGCTGGTGGTACTGTGTGGCGACCTCTAACCCGCAGCGCCCGCAACGATGCTGGTGGGCCTTCATCTTGTCATCCCAGTCCAGGCCTTGCACTTGCCACATGTGCTCCAGCTGAACCTCTGCCCCTTCTTTCCTCCCATGGCGAGGGGAGATGAAGGGAAACACGGGTGTTCGTCACCGCCAACTGGCCGCTGCTATGGCGGCGCCGCGCGGTGTGCCCCAAGCGCCTCGGGCAGGCCCACGTGCTGCGCTTGAGGAGGAGGAGGAGGAGGGAGGAGGAGGGAGGAGGAGGAGAGAGGAGGAGGAGGGAGGAGGAGGATGATGGTTATGAGGATGAGGAGGAGATTGAGATGAGGATGAGATGAGGATATGATGAGGAGGAGGAGGAGGAGGAGGAGAGAGGAGGAGCGGAGGAGGAGGAGGAGGAGGAGGAGGAGAGGAAGAGGAGGAGGAGGAGGAGGAGGAGGAGGAGGAGGAAGAGGATGCCACAGTCGAGGCGACCAGAGGTCGTCGGCACGACCAGCGAGGCGCAGCCGCCCGCGCGGGGCCCCGCCAAAAGTGAGCCCAACGCGGATCGGGGGAGCGGAGGAGAGCCGCGCGGCCCAGACCGCAGCGTGATCCCCCGAGGAGAGGGAGGACAGGTGGAAAGACATAAGGAAAGAGAGAGAGAGCGAGAGCCTCCTCCTCTTCTTCCTCCTTCTCCTCCTCCTCACCCCTCCTCCTGCTCCTCCTCCTCCTCCTTCTCCTCTCCTCCTCCTCCTGCTGCTGCTCCTCCTCCTCCACCTCTGCTCCTCCTCCTCCTCTCCTCCACCTCCTCCTCCTCCTCCCCCTTCTCCCCTCCTCCCCCCCTCCTCCTTCCCTCCATCCTCCATCCTCCTCCTCCTCCTCCTCCTCCTCCCTCCTCCCTCCTCCTCCTCCTCTTCCTCCTCCTCCTCCTCCTCCCTCCTCCACTTCCAACCCTCCTTATCCTCCTTATCCTCCTCCTGCTCCTCCTTCTCCTCCCCCCTTCTCCTCCTCCTCCACTTCCAACCTCCTATCCTCCTTAACCTCCTCCTCCTCTTCCTCCTCCTCCTCCTCCTCTTCCTCCACCTCCCCCTCCTCCTCCTCCTCCTCCTCCTCCTCCTCCTTCTCCTCCTCCCTCCTCCTCCTCCTCCTCCTCCTCCTCCTCCTCCTCCTCCTCCTCCTCCTCCTCCCCCCCCCTCCTCCTGCGAGAGAGAGAGGAGAAGAGACATATATATGAGAGAGGAGAGAGAGAGAGAGAGAGAGAGAGAGAGAGAGAGAGAGAGAGAGAGAGAGAGAAAGAGAGAGAGAGAGAGAGAAAGAGAGAGAGAGAGGGAGGGATATATATATATATATATATATAGAGAGAGAGGGAGAGAGAGAAGGAGAGATATACTGAGACATATACGGGGAGACTTGAGGGCAGAAGCGACGAGATGCAGAGAGACGGGAGGGACCGAGGGGTGCGCGGGATGAATCAATGAGTAAACACACGAAGCGACAAGCATGGGGACAACTGGGAGAAGGGGGAAGAGACACGATGAGAGGGACACGGGAGGAAGAGAAGGGACAGGTGGGGGGGGAGGACGAGTGCAGGTTGGCGAGCGATCGAGAGCGTGATCAAGGGGAGAGACGGGCCATTATGGGAGGGAAGGGAGGGCGCCAAACGCGGGCGACAGATGGGGGGAGAGGACTGGATATCCCAACTGAGCTGAGGCGGACGATCTGGTCCCGACAGGGGGAGAGGGAACGAGAGAGAGAGAGAGAGAGAGAACGACACACCGAAAGACATAACAAACGGGACAGATGGGAACACAGGTGAGAATTGGAGGCGAAAGAACGGGACGGCAGAGGGGGGGGGGGAGACGACACGCAGCATCTGGAAGCTATATGTAACCATATCCAACAGGCTTGATGTAGCAGCAGTGTGGCAATGCTGTTCAGGTCATGCTCTCTCTGAAACGTTGGCGGGCACACATTCGCAAGTCAGCGAGCTACCTGGGAGCTGTCTGTACGCTTTCAATGTTCGAATGCATCTCGTTCTCGTTGTCGTGGTCGTCCACTTATTCCGACTCCCTGTCCTGCAGCGTCTCCTCTTCTTCTACCCTTCGCCCTTCACCCTTCCCCAATACTGCGCAAAAGACAGCAGGCGCATGACCAACTGGACAAGCTACGGCACTGAAGGAATACGCTCAATGATCTATCCCGCCTCCACAGCATCCAAAGGAGACGTTTGCCCATGTCCTTGGCGTCCACCACGCGGACCAACTTTAAGATGTTCGGGTGATCCAGCGCTTGGTGGATCAGCACCTGGGTGGCGTGATGCATTGGGGCCACGCAGAACCCTGTGCAAGGGTCCCCACGTGACCGTTGGACTGCGATCCTCCGAACCTCTGCCTCCATCCTTTCCCACCCGCGAGCCTCCTGCTCCATCTGGGCCGCCATCCCGCGGATGTTGAGCTGAGCAGAAGTCGAAGTCTTTGCGATGGCCATTCGCTGACGTGTAGAGAGTTTTCTGCTGCAACACACCACCCAACTGATCCATGCATTGCGAGCGTGACGAGATGGAAGAATCGGGTCTGCCTGTTCGTGGCGCTGCGCGGTGGCCATCGGCGAGATCCAGTTGCTGAGTGATGTCTTGGGAAAGGAAGAGAGCACTCATTCGTACAACCCTTCGCTAGCTCCAGCCACTCCAACTCAGCCCTGGTCGCTTGTCCTTGATTCGCTGATGGAGGAAAGCTATTTTCTTCTGGGGGGGGGGCAACGTAAGAACGACGGCCTGCTGGCTTGTCTCTGGACGGTTTGCGCGAAGATGGCAAGCAATGGGTTGCCTGTGGCGTAACCTTGCTAGATCAAGCTGCCAAACAAAAGCGTCTGCCTGATACTTATCGATGCACTTGAGCGCGAACTGCTCGTGTGTCGTACGATGCCGTACCAACTTCACAATAGCGAACGCACCCTCGCCGAGAGGATCCTGGCAACATCACCCGGGGCGTGATGCAGGAAGCGACACATTTTGTATTGCTGGAGGCGAGCTCAACATCGGAGAATATGATCCCCCCTCTTTATCTCGGACTCCCATCTCTAATCTTCTTTCGGTAGCTCTTGTCTGTCTTCTCCTGACTGAGGCGAAGCGAGTACGAGCTCGAGCAACACAGAGGACGCTTCTTAGACTCTGGATCTGAAGCTCTAGAGCCCGAACGTGGGGCCGCGGCAGCACTGTACGAAGCAAAGCTGCCCCTGTGTCGTGTGGCGGCGGAGTGGACGGATCAACGTGAAGCTTTGGAAGTAAAACTAATGATGCCCTGTGGCCCGACCCCACGGCCAGAACATATCAGGTGGAGGGAAAACGGGGGGGGGGGGAGGGACAGGGGGGGGAGGCAAGCAATCACTACAGAAATGTCAACTGTTCTCCATATAGGCTGGCTCTTCTGGTGCTTATCCAGAGTGTGCAAACCATGCATCTGGCCCGCCAAACTCAGTTTGCATATGCACGATGCAGATATTCCGACGGGGTCCGACGGGTGCTGCAATATATCTCTATGGGTATACCAATGAATCCCAACAAGTATTCCCAAGAACTCTGCGACGTTCTCGCCCTCGTTCGACGTGGCACGGTACATGGGGCCAAACTGTTGGCGCGGCGGTGTAGGCGAGCCATGACGCTTCGCCTTCTGTTGCTCCCATCATACTTAAGGACCGCATCCCAGAAATGATTTCGAGCACCCGGAACAATGTCGAAAGAGTGTCGAAACAATATAGGGAGAGTGTCTCCCAAGGCCAGGCACGTGACAACCCGCGAGCTTCGGTAATTTTTTGGGTGCTCGACATTCTTTCTGTGAGTATCGTTTAACCGATCCCCATCCTCAGCGGCGTGGCCTGGGCCCCACTGGCCTTTTTACCCCCCTAGATGGGGATATGGGCCGTCCCCTTCGGGTTTCGAGGGGTGTATCCCCAACTGGGGTGGTAATTTGGTGGGGGTCTCGAAGGGGATGTGGATGGGCATGGGGATCGGACAAACGATACCCCTTGCCCAAGTCGCAAAGAATTGGCATGTTCTTCTGGATTTCCGCCCGTGCCCACCTCGTGTTCGCTCCGTGTGCTGGCTTGCTCCTCCAAATGCTTTTGCCTGGTGCCCGCCCGTGCCCGCTTCATGCGCTGGCTGGCGCCACCGTGCTTTCGGTACCTGGTGGAGTGCCCAGAAGCCTATGCAGCTCTGCGAGGTCGAGGGTCAGTGCTTCTAAAACGGTCTTCAAGGACCAGAGCCCTGGTTCCCCAGGCGCTCGCGTGCGTTACCGCGCCCTCTCGAGGTGTGCCGCCTGAGCCTTTGGGACGCCAGGAGAGCCCCAAGAAGGGCCAAGAGGACCCCACGAGGTCCCAACGAGCCATCGAACGATCGATCCAAGACGCCCAAGATGGCCGCCATACGGCCGAAGATGCCCCCAAGACGCCCCCAAACTCATTGATTTTCTGTTGGCGTTTGAAATATTTTGGCGTTCTCGCCTTTTCGGCTCCCGACTCTCCAGGACGGCGCGAGAAGCTTTCAAGACTGCCCCCAAAGCGGAGGCCTCCAAGAGGGCCTCATAACTGCCAAAATGGGCTCCAAGTCCGCCAAAGGGGTCTCCAAGACGGCCAAGCACGCTCAAGGCGGCCCCAAGAGGGGGCCCAGACGGGGCACCCGAACGGACATTTCGAGCACTCGGCCCCAAGAGGCCCTCAGGAGGCCCCAAAGAGGCCTCCAAGAGACCTCCCAGGAGGCCCCGAAACAGCCCCCCAGAGCTCAGAGGACTCACAACTGCCTCCAGGCCCCCGAGAGGCCTCGACGAGATCCCAACCCCAACGAGCATCCAAGAAGCCTCAGACTCACAACCCAGGCACAGTGGCGGGATGGGCCAAACACCATTCAATGGATTCCTCCACCCTCCCCTCCGAGTGGTTCGCGCGCCCCCCTTGGACACAGCAGTTTACATACAATTCCCCCCATTATTCATGCCCCCTCCCAGGCGGCCGTGCATGTATCGCTCCCCCTTCATCCCTGTCAAATAACACTCTGCGCGTGCACTCGTTGATCTCTCAAACAAATATTTTCAAGAGCCCCTGGCAAAAGCGGCATAACGTTCACACATGCGCGCACATGTCGAAATACTACCTAACACATTCGTGTTGCAGACACTAACCTTAAGCTTTACCACCACACATCTTGTAGAATTTCTGCCCGCGCGCACTTGCTGAAACCATCAGACAATCGTATGGTTTTAGCAATCTCGTCTAGCACCCGCGTGCTCATCTCACCACGCGGTGCGTCTGCGTTGATCTAGCATGCGTCCAGAGCGCGGACGGGTATCAAATAATACCACACGGGCGTGTCGAAATCCGCCCAACACGATGGACTTCCGACGCCGTTATCGTCATCGCCAATCGCCGCTATTGCCGCCATCACCAATCAATCACGTTCATCACTGGCACATGGACTTCATCATCTTCTGCGTCTCGAACAGCATTGGCGCCGTCATTGGCCTTGCCGTCGTCATCGCTATTAAGTGCTATCATCATCATCGTTGCCGCCGTTGTCGACGTCATCATGATACCGTACCCGCCCAAGTCACCGGCCCGTTCTGATGTGCCCGCGCGCCATTGTGGCCTTTGAGACGCGCTGGGAAGTTCCCACCAGTAAGTGCCATCGGGGCCGCGTCGGTTGTCGAACCAACTGGCCGCTCTGCGCGCGAGCTTGCGGGCGCTAACGCAGCCGCAGAGATGCGCCAGCCAGTGCCAAGTAGTCAAGTAGTCACAGCAATCGAGGCCGCATCGCTTGTGCAAAACAAGCTGCGGGTGGGAGGGTAGGATGACTGCGCGAGCAGTGGAGTTGACGATGTCAAATTCTGAAAGGTTGATTGCACTACATAGCTTGCACCGCATAGCTGGCAACACGACCCCACACATTGCACCACCTAGCTTGCTCCACACATATGTATATACACAGATACAGATACACATAAATACGTACACATGTGCACACACAGACGCAGATCGCGCCACACAGGTGCGAACAGTATATTGCACCACCACGTGGATCGCACCCATAGCGTTCAAACCATATATTGCATTCAATATGTCGCGCCGCGTATGCTCCCCCTCTTACAGAAGACAGAAGACTAGGCTCTACTCCCATACCGAAGCCGCACTTAACGGCTCCCCTCGGAGTAGTATGTAGTATTTGGTTTTCGTATGTAATTGGCACGATCGTTGGCATTCCTTTTCGATGTGTCTAAGTATGTGCGAGTCTGATCGATTGAACACGAATGGGTCTGAACGGAAGTGAATCGGGCATGAGTCGGCAATGCCTGGCGGCTCCCCCTTCGGATGCCTTGTTGCCATGCCTGCTACAGCGCGGTCGCCATGGGGTTTTGAAAGAAGACTCCTCGTCCACGAGGCCAGAGTAAGCGTTTACGTCGCCACAATCTGGGCTCGAATGCGCCCGTGTCATGCCCACTGGCGGGTCCCCCTTGTGATGCTCAAGGTCAATTTCGGCTACATCGCGATGGTCACGGGGTTACACCCCCCCGACGAACCCATCCTGCATTCGATGTCCCGACGAACTGGACGCGAACGTGTCCGTGTCATACCCCATAGCGGTTCCTCTTTGGGATAGCTCAGTGCCATGCCTGCTATATCGCTCCCGAAGAGAACAATTCAGCCTGAGAGGTCTCTACAGTCCGGGCGCGAACGGGCCCATGTAAGAACTCCCTGGCGGCTACCCCTTGCGATGCCCAAAAGCCATGCCGGCTACATCATTATGGTGATGGTGCTCTCAAAAGAGATGTCTACACCCCTCCAAAGCGACCGCTCTTCCTGAGAGGTCTGGCAATCTGGGCGCGAACGGGCCCGTGTCATACTAACCCCCTGGCTGGTCCCCCTTGGGATGCATTCTCTGTTGCATCGCGACGATCATGGGGCTCTGAACAGAGACACCTCTAACCTCCCTGAAGCGACCACTCTGCGTGAGATGTCCCAGGCCCCGAAGATCTGGACGCGAACGGGCCTGTGTCGCATCCCCTGGCGGCTCCTCCTTGGGATGCCCCAGTGCCATGCCTGCGCTATGATCGTGGGGCTCAGAAAGGGGACGTGTCTGCCCCGCGAAACGGCCACTCTACCTGAGAACAAAACGAGCCCATGTCATACGATTGGGATGCCCAATCGCCATGGCTGGTACATCGTGGTGATCAGTGGGCTCTGGACAAGACGAGCCTACCCTCCCAAAACAGCAACTCCGCCTGAGAAATCCAAATGATCTGGGCGCGAACGGGCCCGTGTATTGCTTGGCGGCCCCCCCATGGGATGTGCCAGGCTTGCTACACCGCTGGTCTCTGATAACAGGTACGCCTGCCCCCCAAAGTAACCAGTTAGGTAATCCGAATGCAATCTGTCACCCAGACGGGGGGCGGGCGGTAACGAGGCGCCAACCTTCAATCATTCTTCCACCTTGCACACGAACAAAAAACCGCAGAGAGCGAGACTTGGTACTGATTTGGGCAGGCTAATCATGAAACCGAAACGAACCTGCACGACCATGTCCCCTCAGACCAGAGGTAAAGTCACAGTAAGCGGAGAAAAACGAGGAACGGCGAAGGGGAAGGGAAGGAAGGGATACCCTGAGCACGGAACGCGAACAGAACATGGCATGTTCTACTCAGAGCGGCGCCGTTTTTTTTTTTGTTTGGGGGGAGGAAAGCCATGGCACCCCCGCCACCTCCCACCCCGCCAATTGTACGAACAATGAGAAAGAAATGTCCGATGTGGTGCTTATTTTCTGGCTCTTGGCGGGGATGGGAAGGAAGGGTGGCGGGACACGGGCCCGAAACCTTGATCATTGTCACGGAAAGCGCACGTTTAGATGCTCCGAATCAAATCTCTCACCCAGGCGGGGGCGGGCAGCAAGTTGGCGCCAGCCTTGCATCATTTTTATAAGAAGCCGCCGAGAGCGGCGGCTGGTGCTGGTCTGGGCAGCTAATCACGAAATCGAAGCGAGCCTGCACAACCGTGCCCCGACTTACGGCTGTCTCTGCGTTCGCGCGTGGCTGGTGTCGTCGACGGGCTCGGGCGGGTGGGTATATCGCCACGCGCCAGCCGATCTTGGAGCTCACGACCTAAGCTTCGCGAGTATAACGGTTGTCTAAGATGCATGTCTGCGCGCTGTCTGGACTGACGTTGCGCGCGTTGATGTCCGGGCGCTCGGCTCGATGATGCAACGGACTGGTCCGAAAACTTGGGCTCGATCGTGCTCGTGTTTGAATGGGCCGATCTGAACGCTTAAGCATCAACTCCTGGCCTCTCTCCAGCGCAGCCTCGGGCGCCGCGGAGCGAGCGGCGACCAGGGCATGCGTATTCATGTTGCGTGTCGCCGACTTCTCCGACGCCCAACGGCCTCGACGGTGAATGGCCCGCGCCGTCCTGTAGCCCCCCGCAGGTCGTGGCTGGGTCTAGAATGCCTGGCCGCGCCCGGCGGGAGGAGCGGCGCGCCCGCGTCCTCGCGGGCCCGCCGCGAAGCTCGGCGGTCGACGTATACCGTGCAGCTGAACACTCGGTCAGTCGGCTCCCTCTCCATCTGCCTGCGGATGAGCATCTCGGCGACGTGCTTCCGATCGATCGGCGCGTCCTGCCTGGCGCCCGCCTTGGCGCGCTCGCTCCGCTCAGTGACGCCGAGGCGCAGAGCCGCCACCTGCTGGTCACCCGCGTCCATGCCGATGAGAATGTCTGACGCGCGCAGCCCGAATGGCTCGGCGGACCGCCGGTAGGCGTCCAAGGCAAGCTCGGCAGCGTCAACCTCCTTCACTCGTCCAGCCGACCTCGCCGCGTCGTCGAGAACTGCCCAGAACTCGAGCGGCTGTGGGCCACCTTTTCCAGCCAAGTGTAGACAATGCCGCGCCGGTCGCGCCCGCTTGGACCTCGGCGGGCCCGTCTGCAGCTCCGGCCACGCGTAGCCCATGCCGTGAACCACGAAGTCGCCCTGGTTAGGCCCGACATCTTCGCCCTCCACGAGACGACAACAGTACGGGGGAGCGACTCGTCTATCTCCTCGCGGCCCATCATGGGCGGTCTCCCCTCAATGGCGAACTCAAGGAAGCGGCGGGCGTTGGGCGCGTGGCAGCCATGCGCGGTCTTGGATGAAACCGACAGCGGGAGCAATGCCCGTCCTGCTGAACGCGCGCTCCGCCCTGTCGCCTCGGTGGCCCCCGATCCTCCTTCACCTCCCCCGAGACACCCAGAAACGACATCGCACTCGCCCCGCCCATGGCGCGCCAGGGCGGTGTTCGACCCCTCGTGTTGGATCGCCTCTGGTTCGAACGCCAGACGCAGCGCCGCCTCGGGGCCCCCCTTCCACCATCTCGGCCTCCTTCACCACGCGGAACAAACCGAACTCGTCCACCTTCCGGGGTATCTGGCCCAACATCCCTGCAGTCGCCTTCATGTGGGCCAGCTGTAGCATGTCCGTCTTCCTGCGAAATCGACGATCCTCGTCGTTCCGCGCCTCGCACTTCGCCGCGCAGTCGCCCCCGCGCCCCCTCGACATTTCCTCCTTGGAAGGCTCCAACTTCTGTGCCGCGCGCGGCGACGCAGACCCCGCGCTCGCCGGTCTGGGCCCGGGAGGAGGCAGCGCCGCGCGGCCCCGCAGAGCAGGGGTCGTCTCGCCCCTGTCTGGCGGCCGCCCGCGCCCGCCAGCGCTCCTTCCTCGAAGCTCGGCCAACCTCTGCTTGGAGTTCGACTGGGGCTGGGTCGCCTCCAGGACAGTAGGGCGCAGCCTCAGCTTCTCGGCAAGGCGCTGGCGGCGAACTCCCCCCAGCGCTCGCCGAAAGCGATCCCCGCCCGGGCTTCTGGGCAGCGGCCCCCGGCCCCAGATGCCCTCCGGATCCAGCGGCCTGTCGTCGGGGCTCGCGCGGCAGAGCTGCCCCGGCGCCAAGAGGCAACGATTGGCGCGCCCAAGGGCCCCCGCCCCCTCCCGCGAGAGCGAGGGCGCCCAGCGGGGCGTCGACCAAGGGCCCTCTGGGCGCGGGGGCAGCGATGCCTCGGACAGGATGTCGCGCCGCCGTGACATAGGAGCCCCAATTCGGCGCGCTAGAGATCACGCGCTGGCAGCCGACCATATAGCCAGCCAGCCACAATGAACAAAATGCAACAACCAAAAAAAGCGGCCGCCGAAGAGCGCCCCCGCAACCGCGACGCGGGGCCCTCGACTCTTTGCCGACGGACCCCAATTGGCGTTCCTTGGGGCTCACGGCGCGGCCGCGCCTGCGCTGTCCAGGTCCGACGGAGCCTTCGTCAGCTGCGAGTCCTTGGCCGCGGCCTTCTCCGCCTCCTCCTCGGCGCCCGCTGCCCGAATCGCGCCCTTGTCCGCCCGCGTCGGGCCCGGGCGACGGGTGGCTTCCCGGCCCGCCTTCGACTTCCGGCTCGTCGCATCCTTGGGCTGGCCCCAGTCGTCCTTCGAGTGCGCGTCGCGGCGCGCCCGCGCCAGGGCGCGCCCCTGCCCCGCCGACCGCTCGAAACTCATCTGGTAGAGCAATCCCTTCTGCCGATCGGTCATCAGCATCGTGTCCGCCGCGGCGAAGATCGCTGTCATCTCCCGCGCCGCGCTGCAGTCCATGGGCCCGCGATCTCGGGTGAAATCGCGAGCCCGAGCTTCCGCGCCCTTCCCTGGCGCGTAGATCTCCGACGGCGCGTCCGCGGCGATGCGCCCCGCGAAGTCTTTCGGCATCATGGTGGCCCACTCGCTAGCTGGGACCCCCCTGAACTCCTCCGACTGCCCCATGAGCGCCTGCTGAGGCGACTGCGCCTTGAACTGCGTCCGCTCGATGGCCGGCTGCGCCGCTCCGGGCTGCTCGGTAGCTGCCCTCTTTGTCGGGTGCCTCCACGCTCAACTCCCCGCTGGCCCGCGCGGGTGAGACGGTGAGACGGGGGCTCCAGCCCTCTGCCTGGAGTCGCGGGCGCGGCTCCAGGCGCCGCCGCGCCTGGCCCCGCCGTGGGAGTCTCCCGCTCTCGAACTCGTCGAGACGACTCATCGCGGCCTGGGCCCGCTCCTGATTCGCCGCCTCGGCCGCGCCATCGCGCTCCGCGCTCGCCGATGCCGTCACCGTCCGTCAGAACTCGCAGGCCTTCTCGGCGATCCTCATCTCGTCCAACTTAGCCGCCGCTGCGCGCTGCGACTCCGCCAGGTCGTTTAAGTGCCCGAGGGTCGCGGCATCGAGCGGGGCGCAAGCGGGCGGCGGCAGCGGGGGGCTCGCGAGCGAGGCGTCCACGTCTCCCACTGCAGAGCCCGAAGCGAGATATGCCGCCGAAGACTGACCAGGCTCCTCCGGCTCGTGCATCTCGTGGGCCCCCCACAGCAGCATGAGCACCAGCGAAGCGCTGGTGGCCGCCCACCGCTGCGACGGGATCAACTTCCGAACCCACTCCGCCCACTCGCTGAGGTCGGTAACCCACCCCTGGGCCGTCTCCGACAACTCCATGAAGGCGTCGCGGCAGGCGGAGATCCATCCCACGAAGCTCACCCGCGTCTCCAGAATGAAACCGATCACGCCCAGGAGCTTCAAGGCCTCGTACAGCACGAAACACAGAAGCCAACGCGCCAACCAAGCGATATCGCGAACGCAAAGTCCAGCGGTCGGTACGAAGGGAAGATTTGGCCCAGCCCCGCAGCATGTACATTATATTGAACGCAATCGCCTGCTGAGCCTGACGGCGCGGCCTGTAGAGCTCCAGCGCGCCGATCGTGCCCGCACGGGTCCTGTCGTGGCCTGGGTCATACAGCTGTCGCGCTGAGCAGGCGTCGACGGTGGCATCGGCCGCCAGCGAATCCCAAGCACCGCATCCGCAAGCACCGTCGTCTTCGCCGAGATCGTCACCGCCCCCATGCTGAGATCTGCCAGCAGCACCACCCATGGGTTGCCCGACTTTCGGCGCACCGACGGCTTCATACCCTACATGCATCACACGCTCCAGCGGGAAATCCTCAGTGTCGAACTCGTCGCCGTCGACTGGCGGGTCCCGCAAAACTGTGATCAATGTCCACAGGGGCAACAGGAACGACCCGCCGCAACGCGCCGTCTTGGGCGGATCCGCGCTGGACTCTGGCAGGCAAGCAGCCTGCCCCACAAAGAATTCGAACTTGGACTTGTCGCTCTCGCCCACCAACTTCCGCGAGCTAGTCGACGATATCGTGTTGCCCACGCGCGATGGGGTTGGCGTGCCGAGGTAGCGCAGATCGGGCGCAGCCTGCATACACGCTCGAGCTTAAAGAACTTGAGCAGGGAACGCGAAGAGAACAGTGCATGTTATATTCAGGGCGACGCCATCCTTCTTTCTTTAAAAAACCCTGCGCCCCCACCCCCTACACCCCGTCAGCTGTATGAAAACTGATGAAGAAAATCAGCACACAACTTGGTGCCTATTTTCCGGCCAAGCTGGAAGGATGAGGAGACACGGGCCCGAACACTTCATTGACAAGGACAATACGCATTCGGCCTGAGATGTCCCGACGATCTGGGCGCGAACGGCCCGTGTCATACCCATTGGCAGCTCCTCCCTGGGATGTCCAAGTGTCATGCCTGCTACATCGCTATGATATCCGGGCTCTCAAAAAGGACCCGCCTAAAGCGACAATGCTGCCAGAACGATCCCGCCGATCTGGGCGCAAACTGTCCCGTGATATTCCGTAGCGGCTGCCTCTCGAGATGCCCCTGCGTCAAACCTGTGACATCGCGATTGTCACTCGGCTTTGAAAATGGACACGTTGATCCCCCCAAACTGCAATTCTGCCGGAAGTCCCGACAATCTGGGTACGAACGGACACGTGCCACGCCGCCCGAGCCCTCGGGATGCCTACGTGCAATACGTGTTACGTGATCGTGATGACCATGGGGCTCTTAAAAGAGACACGCCTAGCTCCACCCAAACGGCCATTGTGCCCGAGAGGTCCTCCTCCTCCTCCTCCTCCTCCTCCTCCAACTCCCCCTCCTCCTCCTCCTCCGCTCTCCTCCTCCCTCCTCCTCCTCTTCCTCCTCCTCCTCCGCCCTTCTCCTCCTCCTGGCTAATTGTTGTAATGCCTGAGTGTCATGCCTGCTGCACGGCGACGGGGCTCTGAAAAGAGACGCGTCTGCCGCCCCCCCCCAAAGCGTCCATTCTGCCCGATAGTCCCGACAATCTGGGCGCGACCAGGCTTAGGTCGGGCATGCGTCCCTACAGGCGGATTTGGGACGAAAAATCAAACACATCCCAGAAATGCCAAACACATATTCGACAAAGGTCAACAATCGTCTTTTGTTTTTTGTTTTTGTTTTTTGTTTGTTGTTGTTGTTGTTAAGAATATGTTTTTGAATCTGCCCCCTGTAGAGGGACAGGCCGGACTTAAGACCAGGCTCGTGCTGTACCCCCATGGAGGCTTTCCCTTGGGATGCTCAATTGCCGTACTTGCTGATACGGAGAATGCGTTGAGTCTGGATGTGAGCGAGTCTTGTGGCTGGATATGTGCGCGTCTGAGCACGAGCGAATGGGTCTGAAAGACTCTTCTTTTGGCTGAATATGCGTATGGAGGATCGAATGTAAGATGAAGCTGGGCTTGACTTGATGTAAATATGAAAAGGCGGGGCTTGGATGAGCCAGAGTGCGGGTAAGGCTGAACGAATACTACCAAGCATGCGTATGAACACGAGTGGGTCTGTGTACGAACAGGTGAACGCATAAGTGAATCTGAGTGTGAGCGAATCAGAATACGAACGGATCTGAGTTTGAATTTGTAAGAAGGAAAACGCGCGTGTGTGGCTCGGTATATGGGTGTCTGCCCTTGCGGGGTTCGACTGTGAATCACCTTGGGCGTGAATGTATAATACCGTGAATCAATAAAGCCGTGCACAAATATGACTGTGAGTCACTGTGCCGGAGGTTGGGTGATGAGACAGCTTCTTCCAGGGGGGAGAGGGCGCGACAGCAGAACGCTCCACTTCGAAAGTGCCATCGAATGATGACACGTCAACTCGCTTGGCAACTCGGGAGCGCAGCACCAGGTCAACCTCCCACAGGCGAACTCGTTCTCTGATCAGTGGCCTCATGGACCAGGAGATCCCAGAGGGGAAGGAAGGGCAGAAGACGAAGCAGTAGAGGCAACACACATATACATTTATGTATGAGTGAAGGGAGCGAGAGAGAGAGAGAGAGAGACAGTTCCCACAGCGACGCCAATAGACAAGGGCGTGCGCAACAATCCTGACCCACGCCGGCGGCACACACGCAAGACACTGTCAGCCTGACTCGGGGAGGAACGCGCCCCAGACTTCACAATGATGCCGAGAAGCAGGCTGGCGCGTGGCGGGCCGGAGCCAGCCCCACGGCAGCTGCAGCGCAAAGTGCGGAGCGACTAAGAGAGACGGACGGGCAAACCAAGGACGACACTGAGGTTGGCCAACAGCGTCTTCCATGCACGCCACGCAGCGCGGGCATTCAGTAGGCCTTACAACAACCAAGTAAAGATGAGGGGATGGGACAAGGGATGGACGGAGGGAGAAGGATACAGAGAACGAGGACGGGGCAGAAGTGAAACGGAGAGCCCCCCGCCCGGAAATCGATCCCTGCTTCACTTCGTGTCGCGCGCGCGGGCGCGGCAAAGCTGCGCGACCGCGAGATCCTCTCCCCCAACTGTGCGCAAGTCTGTCAGATAGACTCCCTGGTGACGGCGCAGGCGTCTCGGGGTTGTCTTGGGGTTGTCCCGTCGTTGTCCCGCCCGTTTGCTCCGCACATGCAGTAGGAATCCGACTACAAGAAACCTTCCACAAGAAAACCAACCCTGAGACCCCAGGACGTCCCTTGATTTTTGGTGTGGGAATGTCACGCTTTCCATGGCACATCCATCGGAACCTAAGAAACTCAGGGCATCATGGAGGCAAGCAGGGTGTTTATTGGCATGGGCCCCTCCTCCTCCTCCTCCTCCTCATCCTCCTCCACCTCCTCCTCCTCCTCCTCCTCCTCCTCCTCCTCCTCCCCCTCCTCTTCCTCTCCTCCTCCTCCCCCCCTCCTCCTCCTCCTCCTCCTCTCCTCCTCCTCCTCCTCTCCCTCCCTCCCTCCCTCCTCCCCCGCCTCCTCCTCCTAATCCTCCTTCTAATCCTCCTCCTCCTCCTCCTCCTCCTCCTCCTCCTCCTCCTTGGCATGGGCCCCCCACTGTGCCCTGTGCGGTTTCCCCGTTCGACTGCCCCGGGGCTGTGCTGTGCGGCTCGCAGCTTGATAGACAGGTAGATCGACGGACAGATCGCAGGATAGACCGCGAGCACACCTACTCCTCCCACTCCCTCTCCATCTCCCTCTCCCCTCCTCTTCCCCCTCCTCCTCCCCCTCCTCCTCCTCCCCCTCCTCCTCCTCCTCCTCCTGCTCCTTCTCCTCCCAGTCGCGGGCGGGCGGTTCGCCCTTGGATTCCAAAGTGAGTGAGATGCCTGCGATTTCGCGGGGGCTGCCAGGCTCTGAAGACGGACGTGTCTACCTCCCCCCAACAGGCGTTCTACGCGAGAGGACAACCGATCTGGGCGCGAACGGGTCCGTGATGCCCCTCTGGTGGCACCCCCTTGGGATGCCCGAGTGCGATGTCTGCTGCCTATTAAGCATAATGGGGTGCGGCACTTGTCAGTGACTTTCCTGCAAAGAAAGCGCAGGAGGCACGCCCATGCCCTTTGAGCACTACCCGACAGAGAGTGTACAGATCAGCGCGCCCATCCTGTAGTGATCGGCGTGCCTCAACCGTAGGTGTCATCACGTCAATCTTGATCCGAGAAGGGGTGCTGGCACATATGATCATGCTGCCATTTGGTGGGCGGCATGGGCGTGTCTGTGTATGTTTGCCTTTATGCAACTCTTCCCTCTCTCTATCTTTTACCGTCTGCCTGCGTTGTCATTTTGCACTCCGTAGCCTGACAATTTTTGGCGAGTGTCTAGTGTGCAAGCGAATGAGGGAGATGAGGAGGAGGCTGAGAAGGAACAGCATCGCGACGAGCAGCGGGTGCAGAGGGCGACTCGTATAGGGTCCTGGCCGACGTTCTCATACTCCAAGCTTAGCGGCTCAGGCAACTCAACAGGGTCGCGTGTGAGGCTGATCTGGCATAACGAAGGAGATCTCGACCGCCGCCTGTGGCCGGAAACAAAACTTCTGGCTGCCCGACATTGGTGGGGGCCTCCACCACCCTCGGTTCCATCCGTGGTTCGCTTCATGCCTTCCCTCCCCTGCCGCCTCCCCGAATGATCGAAAACGAACATGACAGGAGAAAGTATAGGAATCATGGGAGATTGAGGTTGCGGGTGCGTGCTAAAGGGGCAGATGTTGACAACACCTTGGCTGCAAACTGAAAGTGCTGAGAGACATGTCACGGCTGAGTAATTAGTGAACGGCTGACTGGAGAGTCAGTAAGGAGTCAGATCTGCAGGACCGTTCTCGCTGACACATGAGCGGCCTCGCCGAAGTAGAAGGGTAAGTCGATTGATACACTGAAGCTCATACAGAAAAGCTGAAATGCTGACATTACCGACGATGAGCGCGTCATGGTACATCTACTGAAGTGTGCATACGGATCTAACCAGTCAACCCCGTTTTGTTCCATAACGCTGGCAAACGGATAGCTCAAGGAATGGAGGGTTAAACACACGGGGTACGAACAAGCATGGGATGGCATGATGTTGGGCACGACGATGTCTGGTGACAAACATTTGCAACATCCCCCCTATGTAAATCGCTGGGGCAAGGGGCCTCACCTGGCTTAGTAAAGCGCCAGGCTCGCGGAGTCAGCAATTCACGCTTAGCTCAATTGGTCCGATCAATCCTCCTCCTCCTCCTCCTCTTCCTCCTCCTCCTATGCTCGTACTCTTCCTGCTCCTCCTCCACGCGCCGCCTCGACCTGTGCGTGTTTGCTGGAACCGCGAGCATCCGCGAGCTGCTGGGGCATACCTTGTCCCTGGCCGAGGTGCTCGCGGTGAGGCGCCGGCTTCGCCCAGTGTCACGCAGACTGCGGCGGGCCGAGGGCGCGCTTCACAGGGGCACTGTTGTCCTCCATGCTGCACCTCATGCAATCAAAGGCTGGAGCGGCAGAGAGGATGATGCACCATTGCTCCAAGCGACAGATCCGTTCGACAATGGACTCGTTGGATAGCCGATCCGAGCACTCTGTCTGAGACTCGAGCGAGGGTTCACGGTGGGGCTCCGCATTCGAAAGAGCCGGCGTCGGTTCTGGGGGAAGGGCGAATAGATGTGGTCTGCCTTGGAGCCTGATGTCTGACGCGAGAGCATTGAGGAGCGGGATCTAAGCCGATGTCTGACCCAATTCGGCGGCGAGCGAGGGGGGGAAGTGAGAAGGAGAAGGCCTTCTCAGAAGGCTGTGGGGCTTCTCAGAAGCGATGCGGTCTTGTGAGACATTTTCTGTGTCTTCGGGGAAAGCTTGCGAACTTCTCAGAAGGCCGGGGGACTTCCGAGCCTTCTGAGAAGACCCGTCCCTTCTTACTCACCCCCCGAGCTCGCCGCCGAATACCTGTCGCATCCACATTTTCATTCGGCAGGACAGTTTTGAGGGGGACGTTTATATGGCAACGCAGTTGGACCATCGTAATTGAACTGAAAAGACCACCGACAACAATAATCAACAGATGCCAAATACAGAACCAACGAACATGCCTCTTCATACCGTGGTTGCCGCCACTGCGTGAAACAGAGGGCCGCAAAACCAACCAAGGATGTCATAAGGACGAGCCTGAAAAACACAAGCACACTTAGTGAGCCGTGCCCTGTGAGAGAAAATGGGGCGTGCATGGAACGCTTTCCACCCATGTCCCATTACTTGTCCCTCCTGTCGCTTTTTCTCCTTCTCTGCCTTCTCCTCCTCACCCTCGTCCCCTGTGTTCTGTGTGAGGCACCGTGTCGTAGGTACTGAGTGGATCGTCCTCACGTCCCTAATTGTCCTCAATATTACGTGCTCTGCACCTTTATACAAACCCCAAACTCTCGACTTCTGGGTTCTGATGGGGCTTTCCGCAAGGATCTCCTCACGGCCTGAAGGATATTCTTGGGACTCCAATCGTCCATCATGCTCCAAGATGGTCTGAAGGGCGCGTCATCGAGCAATCTCGGGTGCCTCTTGGGCATTGGGGACCTCAGGACCGACCCAAGAAGCCTCGATCGCCAAAAAGTTGCGTGAGTTCGGAATTCTCTCACTTTTGGTCTGAAGAATGGCTAAGCCTGCCTCCAAGATCGCCCCAAGACAGCTCTGGAAGCTCCCAAGAGATGGCCAAGAGGTCTCGAAGACTGCATACGAGGGGCCCCCAAAGCGCGCCACCACCTGAACACTGGAACCCTTCCCTCCAAGATATAACTAACACCTGCCAGAGGCCTCGACGAGGCCTCCTAAAATCCCCAAGTGGCTCCGAACATGATTCCATAAACCTCAGACGGTGCCCCAAATCCGCCGATCCGGCGTGTGAGTTTCAGAAGTCTATGTAAGCTGAAGCTCTGCTTCAGCATGAGCTTTAGCTCTGCTTGGGAGGGGGGGAGGGGGGGGGGCGTAATTAACAGACGAATTCAGTGCTCGGCCCCCCCCTCTGCCAGCCCCCAGGAGAGAGGGGGGGGGGGACAGGGAGGAGGGGGGGAGAGGGGGGGGGGAGGACAGGAGAGAGGGGGGGGGGACAGGGAGGGGGGGGAGGGGGGGGGGTGGGAGAGAGGGGGGGGGGACGGGGGGGGGGGGGGACAGGAGAGGGGGGGGGGGACAGGAGAGAGGGGGAGGGAGGGGGGGGGACAGGAGAGAGGGGAGGGGGGGGACAGGAGAGAGGGGGGGGGGAGGGGAGGGGGGGTGGACAGGAGAGAGGAGGGGGGGGCAAGCTAGGTGCGCTCGCGTCATATCTGACATCCTACCCCTCCCTCCCATCCCTTACCATGGCGCAGATCCCCTCTCTACTCGCTCAGTCGGATGTCGAGCAGGGCAATGATCCCGAAAGGGTACGCGATGCATTATAGAGCACGGCATGGCATGGCGTAGAAGAGCACCGCAAAGCGTAGTATCAACCTAGCATTGCATTGCATGCCGTGGCATGGCACGGGAAATGACGTCAGCGCTGCAGTGGGAGCACGAGTCGAAACGAGCGGAAGCGCGGAAATGAGGCCAGCGCTGCAGCGGGAGCACCATTCGGAACGAGCGGAAGCACGGAAATGAGGCCAGCGCTGCAGCGGGAGCACGATTCGGAACGAGCGGGGCCCGAAAATGAGGCCGGCGCCTCAGCGAGAGCAGCATTTTGGAAACAAATGCAAGCGAAAACCCAACTCCGGGGAAACCTGTGCGTTAAAAAACAGTACGCGGGGGGGGTCGGCCACTTTCAAACCATCATCAGGGGAAGAGGGAGAGTAGTATTCATATTGAATAATTGTACAGGAGAGAGGGGGGGGGAAAGGAGAGAGGGGGGGGGGGGGACAGGAGAGAGGGGGGGGGACAGGAGAGAGGAGGGGTGGGGGGGGTGGGGGCAGGATCATCACCATCTCCATCACCATCACCACCACCATCGTCACATCACCAACTTCATCATCATCATCCGGAGCGCCCCGGATCGGCGGCACTGGCCCGAGGCCAAGAAGCCCCCATCCTAGACGCCGCGGTACTTCCGACCATGTTCCGTCTACGTCTTGCGCCAACACCGAGGCATGATGGCGAGATGGGGCGAAGGCCGCTACATGTCGTTTGGCGTG